ACTCGCAGATATTCAAAAATATAAGATGAAAACGTTGTAATTATATTGAAAAAGTCATTATTATTTCTAATAAAGATTTAACAAACCAGTCATCCACTTTCATAATGTGGGAAGCTGTTTCTGGTGGGTTTTTTTAATCTCATAATGATCGTTATATGTTGCCATCAACAACCAAGCGCCATTTTGTGAATCGGTGTATATAGAATTATGAACCCGTGAGAAAATATATCAGCTGGAGCGAAGACTCGCAGTTTGAATTCAGCATCGCAAGCATGGCGTTTTTTTCGTAAAAACTCATGATGAAAATGTCAGTCAGTAAAAATATACCAACTTTTATAACCCCCTTTACACCACTATTGTATGTTAATCCAATTGAATTAAATAAATCATACTATGAACACATTGAATGACCATCACTTACTCACAGGCTTTTCCAGTTTATTAAACTAATCTCTCGAAAACAAAGGAATTAAGCCCCTACTCCCAACACAATCGCTAAGCACCCACAACTTGAAAATGTTTGTGTAAACAACATGACAATACCAATCTGCCCGTTATTATCAATGCTCATTTCCTTGTGTACCGTGTTGCTTTTTAAACAACAGGAAGCAATCACAGTGGTCACCGTTTGTGACGTCACAGGAAACAGCTGATCACATGTTTTTGCAAATGGCGAACGGAATAACTCGCCGATACAGTTGTTTATTTGCCTCTTTCAATAAAAGTAGACACTTGTTCACTATCAATTTATGAACTTTGCCAAATGTACGTAATAGCTTTTGGCGATTTTATCTGGGGATTATATATTATAGCTGTGAATTACATATATTGTTACATGTAAAGATTGTGGAGTTTACGAAGAACGATAAACTTTGAACATTCAATTGAAAACTTATTATCGGAAGTAGTATCATGCATAACATTTTTTTAATAATGACAACATTGGTGTATAATAATAACTTTATTGATAATTTATAACAATAATGGCTCTAGTCGTGGCAACTTCCAAACTTTCGGGAAGTTGTAATCTATCGGACCGTCATTCAGGTGATGTTTCTGACAGATCACGATCTGAAAAATACTATCATGAAAGTGTATCCCGTGGATAAGCCGACCCCTTTCAACAGAATCTTTTTTCTGGTCCTCAAAATTCGGCTTATATGCAGTCATATACGGTACTCATTTTTCTGTAAAATATTTCCTTTTAAGAGACTAGATGTTAGTCTACCAACGTTATAGAGAAAGCTTCCAAGGAGGAAATCCATGGAAAGTAGTTCGGACTGCAGTCCCTTGTGTTGCTGAAGCACTAGTGTTGATCTGCATTTCTGTATGTTGTATTCCTAAATTATATGTTTAAATATATAGTACTTATGTTTACATAAAGAGTATATTATCTTCATCTGCTTCACTGATCCAGCTAAATCCATGTTGATGATAAACCTATACCAACAAGAGAATGCAATTTGAATGCACATTGACCTGTTGACTTGGGTAATTGGTTAAGGTCTTGTTTCTTCAATAATGTTCCCTGGAGTGTGGAGTGGAGTGGATGGGGAATGGAGAGAGCAATGGAGTTGAGAGAGGAGTAGAGTAGAGTGTGGAGTGGAATGGGGAATGGAGAGAGCAATGGAGCGGAATGGAGAATGGAGAGAGCAATGGAGAGAGCAATGGAGTGAAATGGAGAATGGAGAGGGCAATGGAGTGAAATGGAGAATGGAGAGGGGAATGGAGTGGAATGGGGAATGGAGAGGGGAATGGAGTGGGGAATGGAGTGGAATGGGGAATGGAGAGAGCATTGGAGTGAAATGGAGAATGGAGAGGGGAATGGAGTGGAATGGGGAATGGAGAGGGGAATGGAGTGGAATGGGGAATGGAGAGGGGAATGGAGAGGGGAATGGGGAATGGAGAGGGGAATGGAGTGGAATGGGGAATGGAGAGAGCAATGGATTGAAATGGAGAATGGAGAGGGGAAGGGAGAGAGGAATCGAGTTGAGAGAGGAGTAAAGTAGAGTGTGGAGTGGAATGGGGAATTGAATCAGGAGTTTGGTTATACGCAGCTTTTAGCAATATTCCAGCAATATCACAGCGGGGACACCAGAAATGGACTTTACATATTGTACCCATGTCAGGAATCGAACCCGGGTCTTCGGCGTGATGAGCGAACGCTTCTACAACTAGGCTACCCGACCGCCCCGTGGAGCGTAAAAGGAATGTGGGGCAGAGAGTGGATTGCAGGGTGAGGAGTATGGGTGGAGAGCAGTGCCACATAAATATCACAAGTGGCTGTTATGATATAAGTATGTTTGCATTAATCTCAACAAACACATCAACTGCAAAAGTTTGTCACTCAACATACCCCACATCTGACAACCCCCACCTGACATCTTAGACAGCAAGGGTATAAAACGTACAAAAACTGAGCCCACATTTCTTTGTTACCACAGGTGTCATTAATATGCTGCTAAAATTATCCACAACAGTGTTGTAGGCTGGTGTGGACTGCTGAATGTAGCAGACAGACGATAAGGGTCTGGTAATACATAATTTTGATAGAAAAAGCAACTATAATTAAATTGAAAAGAAGCCCAGTGAGATGGAACATTACCGGGTAATATCCCTTGGAAAATCTAGACATGCTTCATTTAGTGCTTTATCATGTCAGTTAGGGTTGCGAGGAAGGGAAAACAATGTGGTTCAGGGACTGTGAGATGAAAGACTAACAGACATATCTGCTGTGTATAAACCCATGTTGACCACTGTGAGAGTGTCGACACTGCATTACCATGATTATGAAACATTCAGACATATGCCTGTAACATGGTCAATACATACAAAGCTTGATGAATACTATGCAATTTTATACAAATATCGCTTTGTTGTTTATAATTGTATCTCAAATCAAATATTTCAACAGGAATTAAATTTATCAGGTTTTCCTTGCTATACCTTTGGCATAACTAGTACAACATTAGGTAAATGGTATTTTATGCTTAAAAGTTTTGAATGCTGTTGAATACAATCTCCTTGGTCATGTTTATCAGGGCTTTATTTGAGTATACATATGGATATTACCTGGGAAACATGAAGCCTTGTTCCTGAGATCTAGACATAGGGGCTGATGTAGTCTTACAGACCCTGATACAAATATATCAAAAACAGCCCATGCAAGTCTATAATGTTTGGCAATGTTTTAGTATCAGGATATAAAGAGAGTCTTTGGGCTTCTTTTTATTATATTTTTAGTAAGATAATTGAACAACTGTTTTTTTTCTGAACGATATGTTCATATCAGAGACTAGGGCTGATTCATGATATAATTTAAATTTGAGGGGCTGAGATGAGAGTTGGGTTTAACACTGGGTTATCACCAACCTGTCAGCTTAGTGTCTGAAGAAAGTACAAAGTGAGGCAAGCCTTGGACGTTTATCATTTCAGTGAAACCCACAGTCACAGTTATAGTGCTAAATAACAAAGAATCAGCGAAAATCTGGGAATCAAACCAAGATCATAGAATCCTGGCATGCCTAAGGGACACAACTCTGAACAATGAATTGCAATGGCTATGATGACTCAGGGTGACCTAAAATAGCCTGAATGCCTGCTCTACTAATGTAATGTTCTCAATGAGGCCATTCTAGCAGTAGTCTTCTGCAGGTATAATACCCGCTATTATGTAAACACAATCACCTCAAACAATCTGAAAGACTACTTAGTTTGTGAAAATAGAGTGAGTGAGTATAGTTTTATGCTGCTTTTAGCAGCATTCAAGCAATATCACAGGGCGGGATAACAGAAATGGGCTTCACACATTGTACCCATGTTGGGAATCAAACCCAGGTCTCTGGCGTGCCGAGCAAACGCTTTAACAACAGGCTACCCCACCGCCCCGGTGAAAATAGGCATAGATATTAGCAAAAATGTTTGCATGCACTACCCAACTCAATATTTTGCAAAAACAATTCAGTTTAACCTTTTCTGCTCTACATAATTTAATATTAATCTATGTGCATTCCCTTGAAAAAACCTACATACTCTTCCAGAAAATATTTCAACACAAAAATTAATATTAATTTCTTTTCTACAACTATCTTTTGATATCATATCAAATTTCAAAATTAGTCATTACACATTCAATGTGCTATAATATGACCATAAAATACATAAAAATATCACCATTATGAAAGAATGACATGACAACAATCACTGGTTGATAAACAAAAATATATTTTCTACGTTTGAGAATGCAATAACAGGTTTTAAAAAATTGGCTCATGTTTCAATCCATGATGTGCAACAGACCATGTCCATGCAACCAAGTCAATACGCTGCTATAATAGGGCTGAGAGTGTTGTGGAGGAATAATCGTCCCATACACACAGCTTATGGCAATGTTCCACAAAATCCACGCAGAAAAGCTGACAATCAAGAGTTGATGCCCTCCCAACATTAGCCTGTCACCCACATGCATAAAACATTTCACACACAAAAGGGTGGTAACAGTTTGAATGTCCTTCAACAACCTTGACAAGGTTTTATAAAATAAGTTGTGAATTCACAATCAGTATTGCCACCTGTTGATTTTTAGGTATAATTTCATAAACAGGTATAGAATAACTGAACACTATCCACGTACACTGTTGCCACGGTAATCTAATAAAGACAAATGTCATACATTGTAACATTTGTTGACATATCTTGTAATGGCTGTAATCCACAAGTGTGTCCCAGACCCAAGAGAATAAAGGAATCCAACTCAAGTCTAGAATGACTCGGCAAGTCTAGATTGCCTCAGCTCCTGCAATTAAGCATTTTTTGGTTCTGGGCTCCATTTGGATTCTATTTTTTATTTTGTAGATTTGTTGTTAAATAAGATAAGTTTATTTCTGGCTCTAAATGTTAGTCTAAATGACCCCAAGTGTGTCGGGAAGTTAAGTTCCAGATTAGCCTGCTACGCCAAGCTCATTTTCTATTTCCTAAATATGCAAAGAGAGAGAGCGAATATTGTTAAACACTGCAGTCAGCAATATTTAACCTATATCATGGCGATCTGTAAATAACTGAGTCATCAATAAGACGGATCACCTGAGCCATGTCAAGGTACAACTAAGACACACAATAAGCCAAGTCCCAGAGCCAGACAACCCGTTCCCTATGTCTGAGTCGGCCATAACCACAGGCATGAGACACTGGGGACCCTACCCTGGCCCAGAATCCCCACCAGGGTTAAACCCAAGCAGGTAAGCGTATCTTTCGGTTTTGTTTTGGGTTTTTATGGCTTGATCATTGTACTGTGCCAGGGATCCAGAGACACACATCAGGTCTCACCCTCCGCTTAACTTGTTTACAAGGTGCTCTGGGGCACCAGTTGACTAACACTTAGTCTATGAGTGAGTGAGTGAGTGAGTGAGTATGGTTTTACGCCACTTTTAGCAATATTCCAGCAATATCACGGCGGGGGACACCAGAAATGGGCTTCACACATTGTACCCATGTCGGGAATCGAACCCGGGTCTTCGGCGTGACGAGCGAACGCTTTAACCACAAGGCTATCCGACCGCCCCTCTTAGTCTATGAAAACATTCCTTTAAAATAATTGTAATATACTTTTTCAAAAGAACCTTTCCTCTTCTGCTTTTTTCATCATATCAACTTCATCAGACTTGGTTTAGTTTGATCTACCGTATTCAACGTAATAAGTGCCCCACTCTATAATAAGCGCCAACGGCGATATTTGCTAAAATATTGGTTAGTGAACAATCCCAATATGCACCCTTTCCGATTGATCAATGTACACAAGACTTATTTATTTGTGTATAATACGCACTCGTGTGTTATATGCACCCTTAATTATGGGCAATTAAATTCTCGAATATATCTATCGTGTATAATACGCACAGATTCTTCTTTTATATCATTTACAATCTTTCAACTCTTTTTTTCTCACCAAAAATATAATCTAATAAGAGCCCCCTATTTCTAATTTTGAGATCGCCCTGGGCGCTTATTATGACAAATATGGTATATATAAATTCCATAGTCATGGCACAGGACTAGGGCACCACAACTGGTGTGATGTGCTGATATGGTACAACAGTTCCTCTTTGCACCTCTATATGTTATTGTCTGTGAACCCTTTGAACATGCAATGTATCCAAATACATATTATTTATGACATGGATATTCTTATAATAATTATGATACCATTATCCCATGTTGAAATGACATATTCCTTCATCTTTTACAGACAACGCTAGTTTCATTGGTAATAGCCTTAACCAAACATGAGACAAAGCAAGAAAGGCAACAAATAAATTGTACATAAATTGTTATGAGAACATGATAAAAAAACATCCATAACAAAAGTTTTACAACACCATCAGCAAACTATTAGAATTGTTCCTTACAATTTATGGGGCGGTCAGGTAGCCTAGTGGTTAAAGTGTTCGCTCGTCACGTCGAAGATCTGGGTTCGATTCCCGACATGGGTACAATGTGTGAAGCTCATTTCTGGTGTCCCCTCTGTGATATTGCTGGAATATTGCTAAAAGCGGCATAAAACCATACTCACTCACTCCTTACAATTTATGGTCTGAGAAGTACCACACACTCCACGTAATTAAACTACACATAATGATGATGATAGAAACTGATTAATTCTCTGTACACAAACATGAAATAAACAAATACCAATTCAATTCATCCTGTTATCATACTAAAAATATCTTAAGCCCAAAAATTGACATGACCCTCCATCCTTTGATCCATAACTTGATCCAGGTTAATATGATGACTATCTACAGGACCCACCTTGTGAGGCTGTGATACTTCTACACAATAACACTTGCAAGCCATCTCCTTGCTCTAGTTACCCTGTTCTCACCTCAAGGACCTTGTTAGTCTCTTCTATAAATGCCCATTCAATGTGTGGCAGTGTTGGGATCAGGGGTGTCCAAATCTTAAACTATCTCAATACCAGGCTCTGCTCTCAAAGGGGGCAATAACTCCCATGCCTTAACATACACTTACAATAGTCCCAGCACTAAGATTGCTTTCCCGAATGTGCCCCTAGGGTTAATGACTGAAGTTTTTCAGACCTAATACATTACAATTTGTTTCTTGTTTAACACCACACTCAGCAATATTTACATTATAGTGAGTGGGTGAGTATGGTTTTACGCCACTTTTAGCAATATTCCAGCAATATCATGACAGGGGACACCAGAAATCGGCTTCACACATTGTATCCATGTCGAGAATCGAACCCGAGTCTTTAAGTGAATGCCTTAAACCACTAGGCTACCCGACCGTCCCTTATTCACATTATATGATGGCGGGCTCTAAATCATCAAATCTGGAGCAGACAATCCAGTGATTGATATTGTAAACAAACATGAAATGGAGTCTGACCATCCAATCTATGAAGATGCTTCTTACAACTAGCATAGGCTGCTGAGGGCCAATTCTATCCTGGAACCCAACAGGGTGAACATATAACATATAACATCATTAATGCAGAAATTGACCAAAAAAAACAAACACTGAAAGGCCAGCAAACAAAACAAAACAAACAACATTAATACTGGAGTCCTGTTTCACGGGGGGGGGGGGAGAGAGAGACAGTGCGTATTCCCATGATAGTCATAGATCCAAGATTGCTCTGTGTCCTCTTGTGTATAATTGTATTAAAAAATGAATTCTTGGTGAAATATTACAAAATGTGCTTAGTCAAAACATATTACATGAGAAACTAGACGAACACTTAGTCTATGAACATTTTAGATAATTGTAACTTTTTTCCAAAAGAACTTTCCCTCTCCTGCTGTTTCCATGTGGAATCAAGGAAACTTGACTTACCTAGACTTTTAGTAAGTAAGTATATATATATGTATTCCACAGACATGGCACAGGACCAATGAGAAACATAGGAGTTAGTATCATAAAAAAACCCATTGAACTTCAATCACTACAAAACTGTTGATGATGTTATTTCCACTTACAAATTAATAATGTTGTCACAGAAAACAACAATCTGGAATTCACCAACTCTGTAAATCATAACATCAACAACATTATACACAGCATTGCCTCTGGCTCTTGTCCAGACTATTGAAAGCAGGATGACCTCAGGGATACTTATGACTGACCAGCAGTTCACACAAACAGTCACCTTTGTAAGCCAACACATAAATGTGCCCGGGGTACTGAGTCTTACCTGAAATGACCTCTTCAGGGTTACTGCTGACCTCCATGAGTCAATGGTCATTCCTGGACTGACCTACTAGCCTTTGATGAGTCTCAAGTTTTGATGTAGCACTTAATGTTGATTTCTCACTGTGCTTGCCACATGTTCTCAGATGCGCTTCACTGTTGTGTCCTGACTGACACTATCTTGTCAGATTATATATTTGACAGAGCCCTCCTCAAATATTGAAATCAAATTTCTAAATAATCCGTGGAACCCAGTTTCAAGAAGACCAACATCACCCCATTCCAGGTCCAGTTCATCGAGGCTGAGGATGATTGTTGGAAATTATAGCATACAACAAGAATCCATGATTGGACTTCATCAACTTGTTACTTCCACTGGTGTACAACTGCACTGTCCATGTTGAAATCATTCACGACACGCAGCAGTCCAAATATATCTAAATATCGGCAGAATCATCGATACATTGTCACAGACAAAAAACACACAATTACACTACAGAAGAACTGTCATTGGGAATATTGCAAGCTTGCAAAGGTCAACTAACTCCGAGACATGCATGTCAAAACAAACATTCCAGGAAATGTTGGTTAGAACTTATTCAAACTTGAACCCAAAGCCACAAAATTCATAAGTAAACTGTAGGCTGGGAAGTTAATCCGTGAAGAAATCTGTTTAACTATCACAGTCTGTCATAATCCGTAGCCCCTGTGACGTTAGGGGGGAACGAAATGTACGCTTGACTGACTTGACTCTTAGCTGTCTCCTGCTACGATCTCTGCGAGACAGGCAGCATACTGGCTGCGATCAAGGTCAATAAATCCTTGTCAATTGCCAGGTACACATATTCATATATGCTGTGGTTGGGAAATGAAGGTAACCAGCTCTTGATACCTATCGCATGACTGACTGCAATGTTCATGTGCTAATAGCTACCTGCAATGTACATGGCTACAGGGAAGAATGCCATTGTTTTCACACATGTGCAATAAAAAGTGTGAATTCGTAATCATAAAAATAATAAGAGTTACTTTTTATTATGTTGATTATTAAAATTTTAGAAGAATTTTCATGATCTGACAAAAGAACATGTAATGAGTGAATAATGCTGTGAACATGCATCAGCCGTAGTAAACTGGGACGAGTCCATATTTACTACCCGGGTACCCGAGGCCCTCTTACCCAATGTACCCGAGGCCCTATCACTCGATGTACCCAGGTAACCGAGTCCCTAATACCCAATGTACCCGGGTATCCGAGGCCCTATTATCCGATGTACCCGGGTACTTGAGGCCCTATTACTGATGTACCAAGGTACAAGTGGCCCTATTACCCGATGTCCCCGGGTCCCTATTACCCCATGTACCCGGGTCCCTATTACCCAATGTACCCGAGTCCCTATCACCCCATGTACCCGGGTACCCGAGTCCCTATCACCCGATGTACCCGGGTACCCAAGGCCCTATTACCCTATGTACCCGAGTCTCTATTACCCGATGTACCCGAGTCCCTATTACCCAATGTAACCGGGTACCCGATGTTGGTTTCAAGAGTTGGGTACAAATTGACCGATTGGGAATTGTTTTACTGTAGCCCTGGCAAAATGCACTTAGATACATGTCATGCATACACTGAACTTGGCTGAAGCTTTACCTTATTTAAATATATAAAAGTCAGAAGGGTAGTTATTGTGTATAGTCAAAACGGAATGCAAACAAAAGTGACTTTTACTGTAACCATATAGTTACAGGGAATTTTTGCATGACTAACCACGGGTCTGGGTAGTCCTGATAGTACCCGAGTCCTACTCAAGACCCAACCGACACAAGTACCTGAGTTACCCGTCCCAGCCCTATTGGGGCATTATAAATGTCCATTATAATTACATAATATTGTTTAAGGCTGCATGAGGATATGATGTGTCCCATCACAAACATATGCACCAAACTATTTAGGTAAAAATTCATAATACCGTATTCGACGTAATAAGCGCCCGGTGCCAGGGCGCTCTCAAAATTAGCAATAGGGGGC